CGTGGCCATTTAGGAGGGGACACTACTCGAAGGTGAAAATCAACAATTCAAGTTCCTCTTGGACCGAACACGGTCCCTTCCCCTGCGCTGGGCCATCGCCAGCGAAGGCAGCTCTATCCCGTTCGCAGCTAATCCTAGTCAGCAGCGCGCACGCGTCACTAATCGATATTTCCCTTGAGTGCGCGTTTAAAAAGGGTGCGGCTACATTCAGTGACAAAATCTCAATTGATAACTACCGTTCAATACTAAGGCGATGAACTGCTTCAGGATGCTCTTCCTATGGACGATAATGGAGAGGATAAAGCTGAAAGCCCTCATAATAGCTTAAAGTCTGTAGAAATTGATGCCCGCCTGAAGAGTTTATTTCAAATATAGTACTCAGGTTATTAATGCACTCTAGTTCGCTGCGGACGGTTGGGCGTGTCAGGACAGTATGAGTGTGCCACCCACGAAGCCGTTCTCTGCCTTCTTGTTGAAGCGCGCATGCGACAAAAAGTGGTAGAAAACGAGTAATACGAACGATATGATACAGTCATATCATTTGCTCGCTTAACAACTGGTGGAGAACGGGTTTGGCACCGCGCCAAACTCATCCCGCCTGACACGCCCAACCGTCCGCAGCGAATTACACTATACCTTCCACATCATAAGAAGGCGCTGACGTAGCACGGGTATCTACCCACACACCTGTTCGGAGACAGATGACGTGCCATTGACGTCACATAACGCGCTAGACGGCTTGAGCATGGAGGTTCATAGGCCATACTCGTGTGATATGAAACGTCATCTCCTAAGTCTTGACAGGCAGCGGACCCATGCTACACCTGCTCCAAGTATCTCATCAGTTCTAATTGAATAAGTGAGATATTTCAGGTCTATATAATCTCCTGGAACGTAATTGACAATGAAAACGACACTTTATACTGTTTGAAACAGATAAATATTTCAAAAAAAGCGTTTATCCTAGTCTCCAGTGTGCACGACGAATGGCTGACGCCGTTCTAAATCCGCGGGACGGGCAAGAAAATCGTAAATTACCGCTTCGCCGCGCGGGAGGATAGCGCGACGTTTCCTTAATTTACACTACCGTTTTAATTGGAGCATCGGATCTCATGTAAGCAAGACATGGTAGACAGTTGTCTATTTTTGTCGTACATTGTCTGTTCTCGGAAAATACCACCTGAAATCGTCGTATTTAGCAGGCGCGACGTCGCGCGCGATGCCCACAGGCGCGGCGAACCACGATTTTCTTGCCACATACCCTCTAAATCCAGCCACCTGAAGCACCCTACTGACCGTAGCGAACAACACTGTACCGCAAGTACTAGTGTGAGGCACTCTAGCGCAATAGTTCACACAACTTTCAAGCAATTGACTCACAGGGCCGTGCAGACGTTGAGAAATTTTTCTTCGATGCAATCCCCCTTTTCTTCCTCCACTGTTCAACCCCCCCCCCCTTTCTCCAGTTACGTCGAGTGGAAAGTGCACGGACAGCGTGAATCAGGAAGATCAACACTCCCTTCTCCCACGAGCCAACCCTTGACGCGGTTGGTTTATCCAACCCAGAAACCTTCATCCACCTGGGCCAGCAGGAGGGTTGTGGCTTCTAGGAAAACGGGTCGGTGCATGTTGTAATCGTTCATAAGGACCACAAAAGTGTGATTCCTTCTCGGTGCTGCTTCCCGGAATGCCAGTGAATGAACAGTGGGTTATTTGGTCTGTGGTGCACTTTATTCTGCTTCTTCTGCTACCTCCTGTTGTCATACGTCTTACGTTGATGGGACCTTACCCAAGTGTAAACGAAGCTTATGATCTACGTAGATCAAGAGGGTGTCCAGGTCCCCATTAGGCATTGGAGTTATCGATAGAAGCAGCAATATGCACCCCTCCCCCCTCCAAGCCAAACTGCGCAATTCTAACTCCCCCACGATGATAAACCTTCTATCACCGAGTCTCCTCATGATTCGTGGAACTTCTTCGCCCCT